ACACGAATAGTTGTTTCCTTATTTTATTCAAAGTCATCTAGTGTAACCAGGTATTGGCTGCCTTTCCTTAGAAATAACGCAAAAAGGCTTAAGATAGCAATGTGATCCTTAGGTAAGCTTAACCTTTCAGGGTTGCAGACTATATTATAAATGTTTATTATTAATGATGATTATGATGGACTGTGCATCAAGCAGTATTTCTAAGTTATGAGGGGATCACTTTGTGCAGATATCACACACTCTCTTCCTTCTTTCCTGGAGTCTGTGCACTTATTTTGTCAACCACTGATTGTCTCTCCCTCTCTGCTCATACACAGAAAATACTATTAATCATTAATGTCAAAATCATACATGTCCATATATGGGATAAAAAAATTAACAATATTAATATTTTTAAATAGTGAAGATATTGTTGACAATATTTTGCTCTGATGACATTAAGAGATTTTTAAACAATTTAAAAATAACGCTTAATTAGCAAAGATTTGAACTTTCCCTGTGTCAATCATGGCTCAGATTTTCAACATCCTAAATTATTTCTACTAGATTTCAGCTGCAAGCAGACAAACTTCTTCCTTGTGGAAATACATCCAAACTATGTGAAAACTCTTAAACCTACTTGTTCAATATACTGGAAAAAGGAGCCAGATATTTTGAGAGGTAGTTGCATCCAAACATAGGAATTTATACTCTGGTCTCAAATATTCATATCTGTCTATAATATCTTGTTAAATTTGAACTCCAGATTTCAGAAATTACTTTGAAAACTATAAAATACATTTCTGTATTCCCAGCCTTAACTTTCTTAAGGCTATATTTTAAATTAACATTTAAAAAGAAAAAGAAAAAAATCCTACAATTACCATGTAGAAATCCCACCAGTTTCAAAGGTAAGTCACCATAATGGAATTTTTTTTTTTTTTAAATTTAGGAGCAAAGACACGTACTGATGATGAGTTTTACTATATCTACTACTTTCATTCTTAGGTTTTTCATGAACAATGATGTCAGAAATGTTTTATTACAGACACAAAATAATATTTTCAAAAAGAACTTGTAATTGAATCATCTGGCCATTGGAGACTTTTAGAAAACATGACAGGTAGTACATGCAATACTGTCTAGTCAATGTTGAACTCTCTCATTTATATTATAGAGTTCATCCAAGAAATATCCCAATAAATATTTACTGCATTGAGCTGAAGAAACATAAAAAACTGGATCATTGACATTCACTCCAGTTCTATGTTCTATCATTCAGTCAGTAAGCATTCATTAGAAACCATTGAGGTACCACAAAGCAGGCTGCTAGGTCATGCACAGAACACACACACACAGAAAATACTACATTTATCAAAGAAAGAAGGAAAAGAAAAAGAACAGTTATGAAAGATCCAGGCTTAGAAGAAACTTCAGAATATTTTTACTTGTTGCAAATAAAAATTATTACCACTCTGATGATGGAAGTCCAAGGGTTTATAGGAGTAAATCTTAATTCTAACTATGAAAAGCATGTGTAGAATGATAAAAACTCTGGCACAGTAAGTTTGGTTGGAGAAGCTGGGTCTTAAATACTGATTGAGGCATTTGAGCCTGATATTGATATAAAAGGCAAGCGAAGTCCTTTAGACATTCATGAAAAATAGTTTTTTATGATAAGCAAAAAATTCAAAACCAGTGAATTTCAACATAGGGCAATTCACAGACCTCTGAGCTCTGTGTGGGTATATATGTACATTCATATTAGTGTATGAGAGAAAAGGCACAGATATTTTCAATGAAACACAAATGTAATCACCTGTAGACCATTTACTTCGGGCTGTTAATGAAGTCAGAGTATATGCATTCATTTATAAAAACACAGCTAATCATTTTCTATGTTAAGCAGAGAGAGTTCCTGGCCCCTGAAGATGATTCACAGAACCAATTATCTACTGAGAGATAATGGAAAACTCACTGTGGTTTGAAAGATACATTCTGGCCTTTGCAAAAGCTCTAGAGAATCATTCACACCTCACAATGACTGGATCAAGAATGATGTTATTCCTGAAATCAGGAGGGATTACTAAATCCTTAGTACATTTACAAATATGCCTGTCATATTCAAGAAATACTGTTTATTTAATTATTCTGGAGTCCAGTTAAATTGCTTACAGAAAAACTCCTTTCATTTAAGAAATGCTGGCAATGTCGTTCCCATCTACATTCATCACTACACATTTTATTTTGTCCTAAAGTAGTTTTATATTGATCAGAAGTAAAAATACCATTTATTTTATGGAAGGATGGTCTTACCAGCCTACCTTAAAAATCACTTTTCAGGGAACCTTTTTTTCAATGGAATGACAATGTAAAAGAGATTATGGGTACATCAACTTCTGTTTTCCACTAAGGTTTCATCACCTTTATTATCTCCTGAACCCCAGTAACTTTCACACTCTCTTACCAAGATCCAGTGACAGCATTGAGAATAACTTGGTTGGGTATATGATATCAAGCAGGAAGAAACAATAATAATTAACATATTATAAAAACTTGTACAGTCCATCTTTATAGTATTATTTACTTCTCACAAC